CCCCTCCACCCCTCAGCCCCAGCCTGGTCCGTTGGCTCAGCTGCTCCTCCTGGAACCTGCGCTGCCCCAGATCAGCTGGGAGGCAACTCTCCCAGGGGGATGGTGCCCTGATGCCCCTGTGTGTCAGGGTCCCTGGTGCCAGTCCATCTCAGCTGGCCTGGCCTGGCCTCGCCTGCCTCCACTGCAGGGCCAGGGCTTCTCAGGTGGGAGCCCCCCCAAGCTAGGTACCAGCTCAGCACCTGGGGTTCTTCGTAGAGCCCTTGGGACCAGAGCAGGGGGCAGGGCAGCTGCACCTCACAGGGGACGTGAGGCTCAGCTCACGCCACTTGTTCTGGGACCTCGGGCCAGAAGGCTTGGGCCGGCCTCTGTGAGCCCCAGGACCAGGCCAGGGAAGAGTGGCAGGCTCCTGGGGTCACAGCAGGAAGCAAAGTCACTGACTCAGGGTGTCCCCACGCACAGGGACAAAGCGCTGCCCAGTCCCGCACTATCCCCCGATCAGACCACGGTGGTCCCTGGGGTTCTCATGGGCTGATTTTTGGAAGCTGACACCAGGCCTCCCCTCCCAGCCTCGGGAAGTTCTGCTGAAACCTGCCAGGCCTCCTAGGAACACACAAGCCTCCACTGGCTGATGTGGGGGGGCTGCCGGAGGCACACTGGCTGGGACGTGAGCCCAGGCCGCCCGCACGGGAGGCCGGGAGCCTGTCCATGGACCGGCACTGCACTCGGCAGAACGGTGGCCCTGATCGTGGGCACTGACGAGGGCCTGATGACACCTGGGTATAAAATGTTCCCTCACTGGGGGCAGGCACAGAGAACAAAAGGAAGGTAGGGCTGCAGCCCGGAGGATGCAGGGCCCTCTGCCCCAGCCTTGGCCAGCTAACCCAGCACCCACGCCGCCCACCCAGGCCCTGTCCTCTAAGTCCCTCTGCCCCAGCACCCACGCCGCCCACCCAGGCCCTGTCCTCCGAGTCCCTCTGCCCCAGCCTTGGCCAGCTAACCCCGGCACCCACGCCGCCCACCCAGGCCCTGTCCGCCGAGTCCCTCTGCCCAGCCCCCTGGATATTCACTGAGGTGGTGCCCTGCCCTGTGTCTGCCCCCAGGCGTGCCCACCACTCCCACAGCCACGGTAACTGTGAAAAGCACAGTGCCGTCCTGGCTGGCACATACGCCAGCTTCTCCCACAGTCTGGTGGCTTCCGGGAGCCAGCAACGGTTGGCTCTCATTAGAGCACTGTTCACTTCTCACCGCCTCGGCCCCAGAAAGCTCTTGGAACAGGTGTGGAGGGGCTGAGCGGGCTGGGGTGCTGAGCGGGCTGGGGGGTGCTGAGCGGGCT